TTTCGGTTTGAATCGAATTTTTTAAAAAAAAACCGAATTGAATCAAAATAAATTTTGGTTTTTCAGTTCAATTATAAATAATAAATTTTAAATTCAAAACCGAACCAAATACCTTAATACGGTTCGGTTTGATTCGGTTTTTAGTTAATCGAACCGTTTGCACACCCTTAGGTGTAATCTTAAGAGATTGACCTAATAATTATAGAGATTTGCTTTATTTTTTATTTTTTATTTTTGTTTTTTATATTCAAATCTTGAGTCGAGTACAACCGAAAGTTAGGGAACAACAACGAGTAATTAAAGGGTAAGGGAAAAGGCCTTGCTAATATATACATATGGGATTTTTCTTATTCTAAGTCTTGTAAAGTGGTCTTAGGTTCCTTCCCCTTTTATTAAAAACGTTAAGTAAATATAGAAGGTGCGTATTAATACTCGTCCAAATAAAATTTAGTTTTGATATATATATATATATATAGTAGTTTTTTAGCTCGCGTTACGCCGTGGGTTAGAAAAAATATATAAAATCGTTTAGAAAAATCATTTCGGTTAGATAGTCTATTTTATGGTGTGAATCTATAAAAATATATAAAATCAAAGATGTAAAAAATTATTTAATAAAATTTTTTTATTTAACTATTTCTTATTTGTGTTTTTCATAATTTTTTCTTTAGAAAAAAGATTCATCCTTGTTAATCCATGGATTATTAATTAAAAAGAACTTAAATAATTTTTTTAAAAAAAGCTTTAGTATTTCATAAGATTGTGTCAAAAAACATAAATAACAATTATTAAAAGCTTACATAGAAATGAACAAATAATATTTTTTAATTAATGTTGATGAGAATATCAGCTTTTTTTAAAAAAAAGTGAATTTAATTTTTATATATTTATTTACAAAAGAGTGAATAATATTAAAATAAAAACTTATATTAATTTGAATCATTGAGTGGCTAAGCCAAAACATTATTTTAATTATTTAATTTAAAATAAGTTAATTTAAAAATAAATAAATAAATAGTAAATGCTGAGTATAGTAGTAGTTGCACGAGTTGATTTCTAAAAAAATAATGATTCAATAATTTTTTATACATCATAACTATACTAAGTGAGTTTAGAGTTTTCGAGTCTAAAACAAAAAATACTATAAAAAGTTAACTTGCAAGGAATATATAGACTAAATGTGGAGTTAATAGACTAAAATAAAAATTATTAGAAATTTATTTTCGAATAACTTTGATTGTACAAAGAAGAAACAAATTAATAAAACATGTGAATTCTTTTTTTCCTCCTTAAATATTTTTTTATTTATTTTTATGTTATGCATGGCTAGTCCTTGAATATAGGCCTCACGCATAGAACAATCATCTTCTTTTTATTTTTCACATTTGACTTTCAACTATTAATTAATTAGTTTGAGTTTTGTTCTCAATAAAATTGAGAAAAAAATATTTGAAATACACTTTTAAAGTAAAAATGTATTTTAGACAAATTATATATATTAATCATAGCATTATAATTTAAAAGTTATCTAAATCTATTTTTCAAAAGAAAACTTAATCATGTTCTAAATGTTAATTCCAAAATCCATACATATGGAAAAATAAATCAAAACTCGTAAATAAATATAATTTTAAATTAATTGGATGATAAGTTTTTTTTTCAAATGACAAATTAAAGTAGTAAATTTAAATAATAAAAATAATTAACAAAAAAAATACTAAAATAAAATGGGACGAAATCACAATATAATCAAATTTTGAAATAGAGAAAAAAAGAGAATTTAAAAAAAATGACAAATTAATGTAGTAAATTTTAAATAATAAAAAAATTGAGAAAAAATTATTTGAAAAACACTTTTAATCTAAAAATGTATTTCAGAAAAATTATATATATATTAATAATGCCATTGTAATTTAAAAAGTATCTAAATCTATTTTTCAAAAAAATAATAATAATCATGTTCTAAAAATTTATACGAAAATTCATACATATAGAAAAATAAATCAAAACCATCAATAAATATTATTTTAAATTAATTAGATGAGAATGTTTTTAAAAAATGACAAATTAAAGTAGTAAATTTAAAATAATAAAAATAATTAACAAAACATATTAAAAAAAGAAGGAAAAAATCACAATATAATCAAAATTTGAAATTAAAAAAAAAGGAGAATTTTAAAAAAATGACAAATTAATATAGTAAATTCTAAATAATATAAAAAATTGAGAAACAGTTATTTGAAATATACTTTTAATCTAAAAATGTATTTTGGACAAATTATATATATTAATCATCCCACTATAATTTAAAAATGATCTAAATCTATTTTTCAAAAAAAAAATAATCATGTTCTAAAACTTTATTACAAAATTCATACATATAGAAAAATAAATCAAAACTATTAGTAAATATAATTTTAAATTAATTGAATGAGAATTCAAAAAAATGGCAAATTAAAATAGCAAATTTTAAATAATAAAAATAATCAACAAAAACACTAAAATAAAATGAGACGAAATCACAATATAATTAAAGTTTGAAATTTTTAAAAAAAAGAAAAAGAGAATTTAAAAAAAAATGACAAATTAAAGTAGTAAATTTTAAATAATAAAAATAATTAACAAATTAAAGTTTGAAATTAAAAAAAAAAACAGAGAATTTAAAAAATAACAAATTAAAGTAGTAAATTTTAAATAATAAAAATAATTAACAAAAACTTTAAAACAAAATAGAACTAAATCACAATACAATTAAAGTTTGAAATTGAAAAAAAAAGTTTAGAAAATTTGAGGACCAAAGTGTAAAAAAATGATATGAATAGTGAAAGGAATAGTGATTTGTAAGTGTGTGAATAGTATTTTAAATAGAGAAATGAATAGTAAAATTATGTTTTACTTTAGTTTGTTTGTCCGTGTTACGCTACGGATTGAATAAAATATATAAAATCATTTAGAAAATTCATTTCAGTTTGATAGTTTGTTTAATGGTGTGAATTTATAAAAATATATGAAATTAAAGGTGAAAAAAATTATTTATTCCAAAATTTTTTATTTAACTTTTCTTATTTGTGTTTTTCACAATTTTTCCTTTCGAAAAAGGATTTATGCTTGTTAATCCATGGATTATTAACTAAAAAGAAAATTAAATAATTTTTTTAAAAACAACTTTAGTATTTCATAAGATTGTGTTGAAAAACATAAATAACAATTATTAAAAGCTTATATAGAATTGAACAAATAATTTTTTTTTATCTAATGTTGATGAGAATATCAGTTTTTGAAAAAATATGAATTTAATTCTTATGTATCTATTTACAAAAAAATGAATAATTTTAAAATAAAAAACTATATTAATTTGACTTTCAACTATTAATTAATTAATTTCAGTTTTTTCTATAAAAAAAAATTAAGAAAAAATTATTTGAAATACACTTTTAATCTAAAAATGTATTTTAGAATTTTTTTTTATATTAATCATGCCACTATAATTTAAAAGTTATCTAAATCTACTTTTCAAAAGAAAAAATAATCATGTTCTAAAAATTTATTCCAAAATTCATACATATAGAAAAATCAATCAAAATTGTGAGTGAATATAATTTTAAATTAATTGGATGAGAATTTAGAAAAAAAATGACAAATTAAAGTAGTAAATTTTAAATAATAAAAACAATTAACAAAAAACACTAAAACAAAATTGAACCAATCATAATATAATTAAAGTTTAAAATTGAAAGAGAGAGAGAGAATTTAAAAAAAAATTAATGTAGTAAATTTTAAATAACATAAAAAAAATAGAGAAAAAATTATTTGAAAAACACTTTTAATCTAAAAATGTATTTCAGATAAATTATATGTATTAATCATACCACTATAATTTAAAAATTATCTAAATCTATTTTTTTAAAAAAAATAATAATCATGTTCTAAAAATTTATTTCAAAATCAATACATATAGAAAAATAAATCAAAACTATTAGTAAATATAATTTTAAATTAATTAGATGACAATTTTAAGAAAAATGACAGATTAAAGTAGGAAATTTTAAATAATAAAAATAATTAACAAAAAAATCTAAAATAAAATGAGACCAAATCACAATATAATCAAAGTTTGAAATTGAAAAAAAAATTTAAAAAGAAAAATTAATGTAGTAAATTTTAAATAATATAAAAAATCAAGAAAAATTATTTGAAATACATTTCAGAAAAATTATATATATTAATTATGCCATTATATTTTAAAAATTATCCAAAATCCATACATATAGAAGAATAAATCAAAATTGTCAGTAAATATAATTTTAAATTAATTGAATGAGAATTTAAAAATAATGATAAATTAAAACAGTAAATTTTAAATAATAAAATAAAAAAAATACTAAAATAAAATATGATCAAATCACGATACAATTAAAGTTTGAAATTAAAAAATATATATATAAAAAAATCGAGGATCAAAGTGTTACAAAATACCATGAATAATGAAAGGAACAGTAATTTATAAGTGTATAAATAATGATTTGTGAGTATGTGAATAGTATTTTAAATAGTGAATGAATAGTAAAACTATGTTTTACTTTAATTTTATTGATAATAATAATAATTGGTGTACAGTGCTGGATTTCATCCTGAATCGGAAATAACGGGCTTGATGGAAAATGAAAGTCGGGTCAGCCCAACATCAAAGACCCATGAGTCTATGACCGGCATATGACAACTATTATGAACCACCACCACCACCTAGTAAAAATGAGGTGGGAGGATAATTGGAGAAAAGAAACAAATAAGGCTGTCTAGTAGTAGGGTGCGTTGAGAGATTAGGCTGCGAGAGAGAAGCGGTTGCTGTTTGTTCTTGCCGTTTTGATTGGATACCAGAAATTAACAGAAACACGCAAGCGTCTATCTCTCTTGCGAATTGTGGAATCAAATCAGAGAACAGGAACAACAGCAACTTGTTATTTAATAAATTATTATTATTAAGAAGAAAAAGAAAAACGATGGCATCGATTTGCCTCTCAATATGCTCGACTTCTATACCCCTAGCGGCGCCACCTAAACCTGCAAGGAGAACCACCGCTTCAGCGTCTTCTGCTTGCTCGCAGAGCCAAATTTGTCGATGCTTTCTCCCTCTCACGTCCACTTCTGCTTCTGGACGATTGAGTTGTACTCGGAGCAGGAAACAAAGGAAGCAGATGCAGGTTGTTTGTATGGCACCTGACGAAGAGAAACTGACTCGCCGCAGTCCTCTCGATTTCCCTATCGTATGTTTCTCTCTACTGCAATTACTTTTTGAAATTGTTGTATAAAAAATTATTATTAATCATGTTCGATCAAGTTAGAAACCCTAGGGCTAGATGTTGTTTCGAAAGTTGCTTAGGGGAAGTTTATTCTTCAATCTATATTATTTAACATGAAAAAGGTGCTGTTCAGCGTCGTGATGTGCCATAGCCCATATGGTTGTTAATATAGTAGCTTTTAGCACGAACCATTCAGTCAGTAGCAACTCGCTCAATTTTATTTTGAATATTTGAATTGGCAATATTATTTTTTCCCCCCAATTTTGAAATAAAGTGGATGAACACTCCTAATCTGTATCTATTTAAACATCTGATGCATTTTTATGAGGTTCTTATGTCTTACAATTGACAATCTTCTCGCTACAATTATATTGCATCAATGTTCACTTTTCAATATGTTATCTTTCGAATAAACAATAAGAAAAGAACACAATCCATTTATTTCTCACCATTCCTTTATCACTTCATTCTCCAACTCCTACTTGCCTCAACTCTGGGTATAATTTAGTCTTATTTCTTCTTATGCTGCATTCATGTGATTGATTAGGCCTCATGGAGTTCTTAAGTAATGACTATTGAGTGTCCATGGTGGATTTGAACTTAATTTTTGACATAAAAAATGGATTAAGCTACTGTTTGGTTGATTTCATAGTGCTATTGACTGAAACATGCTCTAAGGTTGACGTGTTGGGCTTTCCTTCTTTCTTGGTGGTGGGTGGAATATAGTGTTTGATGTTCTGGTTAACGACTTCTGTGGAGCACGGAAATTTTTGTACATGGTCTAACCATATCGCAGACTATAAGATGATCCGAATCTACCAAAAGCATTCTTCTGCTCAAGTTCTAGAATGTTGTCATCCAATTTATTTAGTGGCAAGTTAATAAGGTTGCTTTTTCATGGAGAGCAAATAAAGTTGATTGCATTCTGAATGTACCTTAAGATTGAACTTTACCTTCTCTTGTTCTTCATGGTTGGCAAGCTGATGTAGGATGGTTTATCATATTCAGGTTCAGCCAACAAACCCAGTTGTTCAACTTTTTAAGCTTCCATACTTTATACACACCATAATTAGAGATGAAAATCTGATTCCTGAAGTTGGAGTTTTGCAACCTGATGTCCACCTAGCTTGTGGTGCATCAAAGGCTGCAGTTTTATTTCAAGGTAGATTCCTTGAAAACCATGACAATATTTGGATGGTTTGAGAGAAAATGATATACTGCATGCATCACCCATGTTGATGCCTTTTGGCATCATGCATGAGGGGAACATGGTCTGAGTTGGTGGATCTAGTCAACTGTTATATTCCTGTATACCTTGAGTGTTAATGCTTGAAAGTTTTACACGAACATTTCGAATTGATATGCAAGTTACATGAGGAATTGCAAGTTGAATGGTTTTGATTATCAAAGCTGCCTTCTTCTCTTAGATAACTTTCATGTCTGTCTCTATTCCGCCAAAAAATTGTGTACATTGCAAATCTTCTTATTCATGTGGTCCTTCAAATACTTTTGACATTTTTGCAGAAAGCATAAAGTTGGTCCATGGTTTGGTTCCTATGAATTCATGGGAAATAAATGAAATAATGGTGGTACACTTTCTATAATATGTTAAATCTTTGAAATTTCAAAGTCAATCATATTGTCTTTGAGAACTATACCAGTTTTTAGTTTTGTTCTGAATACTTGCTGCTTGACATGTTATGGTGAATAATACTCTTATATTAAGTTCATTAGTATCTGAACTCAGTAGTTTACCTTCATCTCATTCGCATTGCAGGAATGGGAAAGGCCCAAGCCGGGGCGTAGACCTGATATATTCCCACAGTTTAGCCCTATGAAGACACCGATACCACCCCCATTGCCATATGATCCTCCTGAAGAAGATGAAGAAGAAGAAGAAGAGAAAAAGAAAGAAGAGGAGGAGGAAGATCCCGAAAAGGAAGAAGAACCAGATAAGCCTGAGAAACAGTAGTATTAGTTGCAGTGTGGCAGCCTTGGATTTTATTTGAATTGTCTATCAATTCACCAAGTTTTTGATGAGTGATATCTAGCTTTACGCTGCTAATAGGAAGTGGATGAAATGTAATAATCATCTAAGGTAGGGTGATGTTATAGCTGGTGGTATTTACCAGTTTGAGCTGTATGGACCATGCTATCTCTTTTTGGGACTTAATACATGGCAAAATGTGATAGATAGGTTTTAATTCATTGTTTTGGTTTGAAATTTCAAATGTTCTATGAAGCGTTTCTTTAGTAAGTTAGATTTTCATTATCTGCGTATTACTTCTACCATTTATGAGAGAAAGTTTCTACTACTTCAAAGAATAGACTTGGACTAACTTGTCATTCTTTATAAGGCAATTCCACGACAAAAGTCTATTCTGGAATCTGGAGCGTTGTCCAGTGGATTGCTGTCTAATTTAACCTGCGCTTTCTTGGGCAGCAAAAGAAAAAGGAAAAACGGAGTGGGGGAAAAATAAATCACCGAAAGTAGTATGTGCACGGGGTTTTTTTTCCTCCTGTTTTTCTTATTGGTATGAGATGTTTTAGTATCTGCTTTTCGTTTTGGGATAATAATTCCAAGTAATATTTTAAGGTACATAATTTCCAATTCAAATCTAAAGATAAATTAGCTTTAAATAGTGAAATACAAAGAAAATGTGCCATCTAAAAATAAAATTTAAAATCTAAAGATAAATAGCTTTAAATAGTGATTTACAAAAAAATTGTGCCACCTAAAAAGGTATGTTAAAATTTACAATATGTTTAAATGCTTAAGAGAAATTAACATATATTCAACACAAACAAAATGCTAAAAAAAAGGAATTTATTAAAAGCCAAGTTGTAAGACTCGAAAATCATTGTCTAGCTAAAATTAAAAATGTTTTATGTTGTCATTTATAATTATTTAATTATGAATGTAGATGCATTTTGTTTTTTGGAGAGAAATATACATAAAGATGAAAGGAAAGAGGAGTTGTAAAAAGAGCGTTTTGGGGGGTTGGGGATGGTAAATTATAATTTGGCTCCTACAAACTTGGGACCCGCGCGCTGATGCTGGTGAATTGTTGTTTGCTAGTGCTAAGTGTTGTATAGTTTTGTTTCTACATAATACTGATGTAGCTGAAATTATATTTTTATTTGTGAGTAATATGATTTAAAAGGAAATAACGTTCGGGTAAATTTTGTAGAATTGTATGAAGCTTCTGATCAATAAATAGTAGTCATAGGTGGATAAATTGTTAATACAAAGATATGCAAATTTTTTGTGGTAGGGAGAAATTGAATTTTTTTTTCGGCTTCTTTTAAAGTGAAGCTTACTCCCCAGATTAAGAACTCTGACATGCTTTTGACTTATTTTAAAAAGAAGCTAATTTGGACAACTTTCGGAAGAAAGAAAAAGTTGACACTATTACTTGTTAGTTTGGAGAGTAGAAATACTATTTTAGTTAACGCATGTATTGTAATTTTGCTAAGATTAGAATTTTTTTTATTAGCTTTGAACAATTTTTTTATTAATATGATTGAGTGTTAGAGTGTTATTTCGATTCCCTTGTGATCATTGCCTAATTGAATGTTAGAATGTTATTTTGATCCCCTTGTGATCATTGCCTTAATTGTGGTTCTCAAATAGATATTACTAGTTTGAGACCCGCACTTCACTGCGGGCTTTACGCAATCAGATGAGTGATCAACCACGTTGTTCACAAATAAGGTTATAAAATAAGATAATATTTATAAATAAATCTGAAATCAATTGATTGGTAAGCAAAAACTAATTAGCATCTAATTATTTTGCCATTCGAATTAATGTTATGTGATGTAGTTTGTGAAAAAGCTTTTTTTATTTAATTATAAAATATAAGAAGGTTTGTGTCGTAAATAAAAAAAATGATTATAACATTAATAATTGATGATATTTTTTTTTATGATTGGTAGATCCATTGAAAATGCTTGATCATGCGCAGTATTATGCAATGATTCACATCATGATTTTGGAAAAGCTTACATGAAGTGATGGAAATCAAATTGAGTTTTAGCACCGCCTTCCACCCATAAAGTGATGATAGACGAAAGGATGAACCAAATACTAAAAGATATGTTACGAGCTTGTGTACGGGATTGGTCTATCAATTGAAAAAGATACGTATCATTAACCAAATTCTCCTACAATAATAGTTCTCAAGCAAGCACTAGTATAACACCATATGAAGCTTTATACGACATGACATGTCGATCACCAAGACACTAGGATGAGGTGGGAGAAAGGAAATTGTCGTGACTAGAATTAATTCGGAAAATAGCTTAATGCAATGAATTAGAGAAATAATGAAAACGACCCAAAGCCGATAGAAAAGTTGTACGGATGTAAGAAGAAAGGAATTAGAATTTGAAGTTGGTGATAAGGTATTTTTGAATGTGGCTCCCATGGAAGGTGTAATGAAGTTGGGAGAAAAGAAAAGTTAAGTTTAAGGTATATTAGGCCATATGAAATGCTAGATAGAATGCGTGACAAAGCATACGGACTAGCATTACCACCTTCTCTCTTTTAATTCATGATATATTTCATGTGTCCATGCTTCAAAAATATGTTAAAGACCTAACCCATCTACTGAATAGTGAGCCACTAGACTTCTAACTCAACATGAGTTATGAAGAAGGACCAATTCATCCGTTGAACTAAGAGGTCAAGCAATTATGAAATAAAAAGGTTCCCTTAGTGAAAATATTATGGAGGAACCATAATATTGAAGAAGCGACGTGGGAAAGAGAGGAAAAAATCCTAATTAGATATCTCGATTTATTTACCTAGAAATTTAGAGGATAAAATTTTAATAAGGAGGAGAGGATGTAATACCCCAAACTCCGTGAATAAATGAAATAATATATTTTAAGTGTGTACAAAAACTATTCTATTGTGCAAAGAATAATTGCTAGATGGGTGTTAGAATATTTCATGCACTTAAGATAATTTTTCTATGCATGTTGAATATTTTATTGGCTTCTTTGTGCGTGAATAATGCATTTTTATGCAAAATAATTATTTTGAGTATTTTAAATGAGTAGGAAAATTATTTTATGAGCATAGAATAATTATTAGAGGGGTGCTAGAATATTCGAGTACAATGAGGTTACTTTTTCTATGCTTGATAAATATTTTATTGGTTTCTCTATGGGTGAATAGTGTTTTTTATGCAAAATAATTATTTTGAGTGTCTAAATAAGTACATAAAAATTAGGTGATTGATGAATAAATTAATATAAAAAGTGTATGAATTTATTATGAAAAGAAATTAATTTTTTGAAGCTTTTGGAATTATTTATGTACATAGGGACTTAATTAAATAAAGTTCGAGATTCAATTATAAAAATTAAAAGTTTTAGCCCTCAAATAAATTTGAAAATAAAATTTAGGGGATATAAAGATATTAGAAAAGCCTTAGGGAAGGACCAAAAATAGTCATTTGAAAATTTGATGAGCTAAAATGTAGGAATGAAATTAAAATAGTGTGATAAATCGAGAGACCAAAATAAATAATTAGGCCAAAATTTTTCTCCCCAATTCGCCACTTCACCCACCCTCATTAACTAAGTATAATTATTAATTTAACAAATGAATGGCTAAGATTTAGATAATGGATGGCTAGGATTAAAAGTAAAATCAATTGTGGAGATTAAAACCAAATGAAAGGTCAAGCTTAAAGTCAAAACCAAGCAAAAGTCCACCTTTTTAGCTATAAATTCAGCTTGTAGGAGAAGGAAAAAATGATAGAAAAATAGAAAAATTAGGCCAAATTCTTGCCAACAAAACTCCCAAAATTACAAACCAATTCAACCAAACCCTTAAACACAACCTTGAATCACTCAATCAAACTTGGAATCATAATTGGAAGATCTAAAATAGTAAGAGGAAAAGCTTGGGGAGGAGTTCGAAACTTGGAGGGAAAAAAAAGAGGGAAAATTTTTGCAAAAAATTCAAATTAAAAAGAATTAAATTAGAGCATTTAAGGTAAGTAAGTCTCCCTACATAAGAAGAACTTAGTTTTAATGATTGAATTAAATATTTTTAGTTGGAAAAAGTTATGTATATTATGTGTGATGAGGTTGAAGGAAACTTTTGTATATGAATATATGATTTTTGATTAGATTGAATATTAGTTAAGTGAAATAATGATGTTGTGTATTTAATAGTGCATAAATTGTTAGATTTGCACAATTAATTCAAGTTTAATTGAATTAATTAAACTAATTAGGGTTAGGGTTTTGAGCATGTGAATTGAAAAAAATAATTTAAGTGTTGAAATTAATGAAATTTATGATGAAATAGATTAATTAAACATGTAAACAAGTGGTAAAAATGAAAAACTATCTAGCCTAATTCGAGAGGAAAGTTTCGACCAAGTTAGGGAAAATGAGGGTTTAGTGCATTTGATTTATTGAAGTTTAATTAATACAATACATGTTATTGAAGTATGATTAGATGATTGAAGATGTGAAATAGCATTTAAATTAAAAAATTCACCTAGCTTGAGCTAGGTGTACATTTGGCATAAATAGAAAAATTACCGTTAGAAGTTTGATTCATATGTTATTGTTGTTGGATGGTTTAAATGATGAAGTTGGAATAATTAAATGGGTTAGTATGTGAATTTAGTGATTAGAAAGAAAAATTCACTTAGCTTAGGTGAAAGGAAGGTTTCAGCTATGTATGAGATTTTAGGAGAAGATTTTAGTTAAACATACTATTATTTAAATTGGTGACTTTATGATTAATTATGTGTATTACATATGTTTAAGGCATGCACTTATGTATCCATTTCTTGATTGTTTATGTTTAAGGTAAGTGTGAAATGAGTGAATTAAATGGGTGCAATGTCTTATTGATTGAATGATGTTGCCAATGTGATATTTTGTGGTACATTACGTTAAATATTTTATTTAACTAGATTGTGTAAATTGAATGGAATGTGAAGGACTCGAATGTGAAAGGTAATCGATTCTTATGTCCATTTTTATTATGTTGAGGTATGTAATTTTATTGCATAAATGCACATTTATTTATGACATATATTATGTTCATTCATGAGGTTATGCATTTATATTTAAATGCATATGCATATCAAAATCATGAAAAGGTTTTTCTTTATGATTTTTCAAAGAAAAAGGAAAAGGTTATTGAGGGTCTATCCTTGATATTTATTTGTTTTGGGAATTGGTAAAGGCCTTGATAGAAGAATTTCTTCGTTGGGGGAATTGATAAAGACCTTAAAAAAAGAAAATAATAAAGGAAAAGAGGGCCGAACATGTACATACGTGCGTATAATATATGTTCAACGGGGCATGTCCGAAAAAGGAAAAGGATTTCAAAAAGAATATAAAAAAGATTTTAAAGTGCATCCACTTACATATATGCATAGCATGCATGACTAACTTACTAGGTAATGACTCACCTAGTTCTTGTGATCTAGGGGTAAAGGATAAAGAGTAGCGGTTATGTTCTTGTTGGAACTTGTTACCAAAAGAACTCCCTCATCTATTTGCTAAATGTATCTTACATATGGTTGCAAGCTAGATCTAATCCATTTAATTATGCTTGTTAATTTTCAATATTCTAGTATATATACTTGGTATGGCTACTTTGTTTTATATGATGATAAAGATAATGAATAGGTAAACGAGGAGATGGTTAGCTTAAAAGAGAAAGTTGACTTATAAATAAGTAAAATTACTTTTGGTAAATAGTATGGTACTATGCTAGTCATCATGTAAAAAGGGAAAGTAGGTTGTAAACTCGTCAATCGATTTTGGATATGCTAGTTATGTAATCAAATAATAGTGTGTAGTTATAATTTCTATTAGTTTAATATTTGCATGCTAATGTTTGATAATAATATGGGTAATCCAGGTAATCTTTATAAAGGATGATAATTAGTGAAGGAAAGAGTTAGACTATCAATTAAAAGGTATGAACTAGATAGATTTATCCGTCATATAGAAAAAGAATTTCACAAAACAAGAAACATGGATCAATTTATTTTAGTTTAAACTATTAAAAAAAAAATTAATAGTGCATTTTGGGTTGAAATTTGTAAGCAAAAGTTGGACCTATTAACTACTTAATGGGCTTCGTAGTAAAAAGCTAGAATTAATAATACGATAGAAAAAGGACACACGACCTTGTGTCTTGCATTCATTGTAAGGCACGACGATAGCATCCTCAACTTAGGTCCGAGGTTGGGGGTGTTACAAATTTGGACTTCTTTCTCCTAGCTCGATTTGTCTCATCATCACTAATTGATCATGACTTCCATCTTCATCCGAATCAAACTCATATGAACCTACACAAAAATCCACTCCTTAAATAGCATTGCTCCGGGATCTTTGCCTATTTGATTGTGGAGTAACAACTCGGTGGTGCTTTTAGGACACTAGTAATGTGTTTTTTACTTCTCGTTTGTTTTAGCATTACAAGATTGTTTCTAACCGCAACTAACTCGTCATCATCATTGTTAGTAAGCCACAACTCTTCAATCAATTCTACAACATCATCCGGATCCAATACACTATCATATCCATCCCTACTATCTCCACTGTCTTTTGAACCGAATCTCTAGTATCCTTTTTTTCATTTCCCAATCCCTAAGTGTTTCCCTCTATAATGTCACCCTTTTTCCTTGTGATTTCATCCGACATAAGCCCTACCTCGGTTCTTTCAAAAGCATGCCTCACACTATGTTGAGTGTTAGGTTGCCCATGTTCCCCATTGCATCCATGTACATTATTAAATTCCCTTATCTCATAATTTACATAAATACCCTCATACTCATAAGAAATTACATCATCATTAAGCCCAATACCACTATTTCCCTCACCAATCATACTACCATTAACATCCATATTTATGATCGTATTTTGTTCCGAGATCATATTCTCAATACTATCCTTAAGGTCAATCACTTCATTCCCATCAATAATAAAATTTTTCGCATCATCAACAAAAAACTCTATATTCCATTACTCAATAAAATCATACAAATATAGAAACAAAGATGCTTCATTATACACGAAATCAATTGACTTTCTAATGTATCCCCATTCCTCAAAACCTTACAATGTATCTTTTCATGATAAAACCACCCATAACATCTAACAAGTTGATTCAAGGCTAAAAAGGAAAAATAATCACTCGTCAACCAATTTAATCTCACAAACCCCACCGAGTGTACTTCAAATCAGGATTTCGAACAAACTCTCATCCAATATGCGAGTAACAATGTTGAATTTAGCATTTCACCTGTGAATTTTACAAAACTCGGATAACAAACTATATGGTAGCACTACTTTATCACACATTCAATTTTGCATTTGTGATTTTGAAGTAGTAGTAAAAGAAGAAGAATGGGAAGTCATGAAATGTCACGATGATAGACCAAATTTGAGAAAGATTTCAAAAAATTAAAAATGCCTTAATTCTACCATATAATATCATAAAATTATCCTTTTCAATTGCGAAGGCTCTCTCTCTCTCTCTCATTCTCAATTGTTGAAGTCTCTCTCTCTCTCACGCTCTCTCTCATTTTCAATTATTGAAGTCTTTCTCTCTCTTTCCCCGACCATTGTAAACTTCCTCTCTCTCTCTCTCTTCGATTGTTACAAATACAAGTTTGATTAGATATATAAGGTAGGCGATGAGTCGTCTACTTTATATCCATAATCTAACAAATCGGTTTCGATTTGATGCTAACAAATTTAGAAAAAAATTAACGACAACAATAATAGTCAATCTGCGTTGACCATTGTATTTAACTTCAATTGAGAAATCGGTTCAATGTTGCCAAATCTTTAATACTTTTGGATCCAAATTACGTAATTTGACACAATCGGCTCGAAATGGTCAAATCACAATTGATTGGGGGTAAAAATTTCCATTAAAACTTTAAAAACCAAGACCGGCTCTTTTTTTTTTTTTTTTTTTTTGTCTTTTACAACCTAAAATCTCCCTCGGCAATTTTTTTCCTCTTTGATTTCCTTGTTTTAATCCTAACCCTTCCAACTTATTCACCCCAACTATTTTTCTGGCTTTGGTTACAGTGTGAAAAGAGGCTTTGTAGACAAGTTTGGTTTGAAATGGCAAACGTAAAAGGAATTTATGGTTTTGTTTTTTCTTTTTCTTTGTTTTTTGCTTATGTTGGAGGCTTAAAAGAAATGGATGAAAAGAGAATATCCATGGGAGTGAGGAAGGTGGCTTTGGTCTTTTTCAGGATGGAAGGACAAGCCGAAAGGAGAGGATAAATGACCAACAAAAAAAATCAACCAAAGACTAAAAAATAAAACTAAAGAAAAAACACTGGAAGGGAGGGAAGGAAGAAAATGAATGGTGACCTACAAATATATCCTTATATTTTTCCATCTTTTCTATTTCAGTCCTTATTCTTTTTTTCTCAATTACACTCCTATATCTCTCAATTTTTTTGTTCAATCCTCTTTCTTTTTAATTTTTTCAATTATCCTTATCAGCCTTTTTTTTTCTTTGTATTTTTTTCTTTTTTGATTATTTTCTCTAGCTTTTTTTCCTCCCCTCTTTTCTTTTTTCTTTTTTCTTTTTTTCTTTTCTCCACCACTCTTAGAAAATTCAAGAAAAATACCAGCATCATTTAAATTGCAAAAAATATCAAAATATCTAAAAACTTAGTAAAAATTAGGAAAAATATGCAACGTGTAATTTTTACATAAATTATTTTTAAAAAAATATTTATGGCGGGTCAAAATCGGATGATGACAGAAAGAATTGAAGAAATATCTCTTAAAGTGATCCACATGCCACCTAATTATTTAAAATTAATAATATAAATTATTATATATTATTATCTGTTTATTTTAAATAAAATTTATAAGTGAATTTAAAAATTAGAGCCCATTGCACTTTAATAATGAGCTAGATACATCCACGATGAAAGTTCAAAATTTTGGTTAAAGAAATAATTCCTACTGTAGCTATATAAACATTACATAAAGTCCTATACCATCCATCTACATAAAGAAAATTTAAAATATTAGCATAGACTGTAAGATTTTTTTTTTTTCCTTGGCTGCACAAACTTTTCCTGGGTAATTGTTTGAGTACTCAACAACTACGGTTGGAGGTACATTTCCAATTTTTTTTTTTTGTTTTTTTTGCTGTGATTATATGCGTTGCTTTTGCATATTCAATTATTCTTACAATACCCCATGTGTATTCTAAAATATGAATTAATTTAATAACATTCATGTAGAAAATATTTACTTGATTAAGTAATTAAGTGTTTTGTATTAGGTGAGATATATTCATTAATAATGGGTTCAAACCTTAAAAAAAAAAAAACTATGACTCTTGATTAAAAAAAATTTGTTAAAAAAATATAATATAATACCAACTTCAAACAAAACGTCCGAGTAAGCTGATATTAATTTTTTTTTGTACCAATTAAAAATGCGAAATGAGTTTCAAACGGGGTTGATAACTTTGGCGCATCCTATGGGAGCTCGTTAATCCTCTACCAAGAACATACCTATAGTTTAAATAAAAAATAAAATAAAACCTAGTTAATGAAAAAGAAAAAACGTTTTCCGTCTCTTCCTTTCCTTAAACCCTAAAGAGACGTACACCAAGAATTCATTCTCGGATAACTTAAAAGCGTCACGTCGGAACACCACCAACCCAAACTCACTAAGCCATCGGCGGTCGTTATCTTGCGGTCGGAATCCGGCAGTGGCAGCCCATTATTCTATTTATCCAGCAGTGCTCGGAACCTTGCTTCGGCTTGAACTTTGGCATACTTTCAAGGTGAGTGGTTAACTGTAAATATGTAATATATTATTCATCATTGATTCGGTTTATGAATTATTATATCTATGATTGACTCAGAGAGCTAAGCGGGCTAAAGATTTGTTAAGTTTGATAATGGTTGGAAGGAAGTCGTAAACATTAACTTGGACAGTTGATGAGGGATCGCTCAATTTTGACCATTTTTGCCTGCACAATTTCTTTTCACGTATGCTTTGTTAAATATCATAATTGGCATTTTTTGAGAATTGATTTCCTTGTTGGCTGTTGAAATGAAATTATCCTTCTTTTATTGCCAAATCTCAACATTGTTTGGGACTTCCATATATTGTGTTATGGAAACTGAATGTGAATAGCTACTGTATGTTTGGTATTTGAGTAACAATGATGATATTTTGACTTGATATCAGTTGATTGATTACGATTTCCTTGGCTTATTGTCAAGCACCAAAAAGGATGGCGATGCCACAATTACATGGGCGGACAAAAAGTGTGACAAAAAGATCCAAGAAGTACCTAGAAGAAGCACTGTACATGAGGCTGTTCAAACAAGGCAGCTCAGAGGTAAGTGTGAGACAACAGTTGAATCAGTTCCTCAAGAGCTCCAAGCATGTCTTTAAATGGGAAGTTGGCGACACCATCAAGAAGCTTCGCAGTCGCAACCTTTATTACCCTGCTCTCAAGGTATCCTTCCCCAAACCCCCAATCCTATGTATCTGTATTCTAATTATTCTAATTATTTTTTGTGATATTATACAAAATTAATGAACATTTTACTCCTATGTTATAGAGCTCCAAACATGTCAAATTTTATGAATATTTTGCATCCATTCTTTTTTTTTTTTTTTGGGTGCCTTGCAGTTAATCAATTACCATTTTTCTCAAATTAGTGGTATTGTCTGAATCCCCCAATTAAAAAATGTTGTACCTTATCTTTTTGATCTTAATGGATATTATGTCATAATTGTGTATTTGCTACTTTAAATTTCTCTTTCATACCCTGCATATTGTATATCATCATCATCATCATTATTATTTTAATTTTTTTTACAGCTATCAGAAACTATGTCTAATAGGGGCATGAATAAAACCATCAGTGATCAAGCTATCCATCTTGATCTAGTTGCCAAAACTCGGGGCATACCTGCTGCAGAAAATTACTTCATTGATCTTCCCGAAGCATCAAAGAACCTTCTGACATATGGAGCTCTTCTCAACTGTTATTGTAAAGAATTGATGACTGAAGAAGCAGAAGCTCTCATTGAAAAGATGAAGGAACTCAATCTTGGTTTAAGCTCCATGTCTTACAACAGCCTTATGACTCTCTACACAAAAGTAGGCCAGCCTGAAAGGATCCCCGCAATTATACAAGAAATGAAGGCGGGCAACATCATGCCAGATTCTTACACATACAATGTCTGGATGAGGGCTCTGGCAGCTGTAAATGATATTTCTGGTGTTGAAAGAGTAATGGAGGAGATGAAGAGGGATGGCCGAGTTGCTGCGGATTGGACAACATATAGCAACTTAGCCTCGATTTATGTTGATGCTGGCTATTCTGAAAAGGCAGAAAAGGCACTTAAGGAATTGGAGAAGAGAAATGCAAACAAAGATCTTTCTGCTTTTCAGTTTCTGATTACTTTGTATGGCCGAACAGGAAACTTGCTTGAAATTTATCGAATATGGCGTTCTTTGAGGTTGGCTTTTCCAAAAACTGCAAATATAAGCTATCTAAATATGATCCAAGTGCTGGTTAACTTGAAAGATGTACCTGGTGCAGAGAATTGCTTCAGGGAATGGGAATCTGGTTGCTCAACATATGATATCAGGATTGCAAATGTTCTCATCAGTGCCTATGCCAAGGAAGGTTTGCTAGATAAGGCAGAGGAACTCAACGAGAGGGCCCGCAGGAGAGGAGCCAAGCCTAACGCTAAAACCTGGGAAATATTTTTGGATTATTATTTGAGAAACAAGGATATCAAATTGGCTGTTGATTGTTTAGCCAATGCAGTGTCTGCTGGTAGAGGGAATGGTCAGAAGTGGGTGCCATCACCTGTGATTGTAGGGTCTTTGATGGCACATTTTGAGCAGCAGAAGGATGTAGATGGTGCAGAGGGACTTATTGAGATTTTGAAGAAGGCTGTAGATGATGTAGCGGTGGAGGTGTTTGAGTCATTGATTAGAACTTATGCAGGTGCTGGAAGGAAAAGCCACATGATGCGTCGCCGATTGAAGATGGAGAATGTTGAAGTGAATAATGATTGTCAGAAGTTGCTTGAAGGATTATGCGTGGAGTGAGTTTTATTTACTTTTTCAGTTTGTTGCCATGATATCATTTATTCGAGGATCAATTTTCTCATGGTTTAACTTGCTGTTCTAATAATGAAAAGTGGCATCTGCTTCATTTATGATGGAGATACATACGGTCAATGATTAAACGAAGTCTGATGCTGTATTTGTGACCCTTTTGGTGCACAAAACTATAAGACTATAATGATCCAGGACTAGGCTGCTTTTGTGATTTCGTTCAGGGATTCTATCATTTAATCCGTGACAATTTTGTTTCATCTGGACTAATCACTTTTAAGTTACTTAGATCACTCAGTTTTGTCACAGTTACTTGACTCCACTTGATATTCAACCGTTTCTGAGTGGTGACTTGACTTCGGAATCTGTTTCTGTTCCTGAAGAATTTTGTTGATCACATCGCATGGAGCCTGCTTAATTGCTCCTATTCTAATTTCGCCCCCGCATTATCTTCTTCTAGATGCAAGGCTCGTACATATAGTATGAGTTGTGAGAACCTATAGAGACATGGGTTTTCAAATGGCTTCCTTGGTGTTTTGTGTTGCTGCGGTCTATCACTTCGAGTATGCATCCCATTATTTAAGAAAATTTCATAGTTACAGAGCTAACAGCACATTCTATACCAAACGCGGAAGGACGCTCCATATTGAGGTGAAAATAACAATATTCTTAGCTATCATCTATGCACAAGGTGTAATCTTTGAAAAATCTATTTAAACTAAACACTTCTTTTTATATGCTAATTTAGTTATTTTGAAAATCCTTCAAACATTAAAAAATTTAGTTTACGTTCTGAATCAACGTCTGTCTAAGCCAAATACTTCTCTTTATATGCTAATTTAATCATTTGAGAATCCTCCAAATATTAGAAGACTTGTTTCAAATTCTCATCATTGAATCAACGACCATCAAACTACAATCAAAGACCATTAATCATCAATATTATCAACAATTAATTACATATCTACTAAACCCTAATCAAATCAGATCAATGACTAGCCTTTATGTTGCTACTATTATTCATGTCTGTAGTGGTGGTCGTTGAGTAGGTTCTGGTCTTTGATGGTGGTTGTGGTTTGCGACAGTGATTTGGTGGGTGCAGTGTTGGCTATTTAGAGAAGATGATAATGGTATGGTGGCTTCGGTTTGGAGAGGGTGGTGGTGGTGGAGTAGATGGAGGCTTGGTGGCTATCGTCTGGGGTTTGTTGGCTAGGACAATGGTATGGTGGGTGTTGTGATGGTTGTTTGGAAGAGACGATGATAGTTTGGTGGCTTCGGTTTGGAGAGGATGGTGGCGGCGGAGGATCGATTTGGTGGGAGATAGCGGGTTGGTGGTTGCGATGGTTTGGTGGATGTCGTAGTGGATGTTTGAAGAAGATGATGATGGTGGTGGAAGGTTGATTTGGTGGAGGAGATGTTGGCTTGACGATTGTGTTGTGGGGTTTGGTGGTTGCGGTGGTTTAGTGGGTGTTGTGGTAGTTGTTTGGAGAAGATGATGATGGTTCGGTGGCTGAGGTGGTGAGTTTGGTGGTGGTGGTCTGTGGCTGACGCAGTTGAGGAGAGAGGAGAGATTTTGGGAGAGAGAAGGGAACTAGAGAGGATGAGTTATTGTGTGATTTGGTTTGTAATGGATTTTTCTTTTTTACGAAGAAACTATAATTTCGGTGCTTTATTATTATTTTTTTGTATTTAATTCTTTTCAGTAATTTGTAGATTATGTGGTATTTTTTAACTGTTACGTAATAGTTTTAACTGACCGGCGGAAAAAAAAAAAAAACTTAAACCACGATGTGATTTAAATTAATTTTAATTAACTAATTGAAAAAAAAATTTAAATTTATTTGTGGCTTTCAATCTGGTCGCTCAACTCACAACAATCTTCGTTCATGACATGACAAAAGCTTCTGGGATGACATCACAACAATCGTAATTAACTTTTAAAAAAAAAAATTAAATGCTCCCTGGGATGCCCCATCCTAAACCGAAATCACAATCGTATGGGTAGAGGCATTTTTTTGCGACTCCATAACCGAAATCGTGGTTGAAAGTGGTTCAAGTAAGACCCAACTTTGCCTCTAACTGTCTTTCCGCGCCCAACTCCCACCCTTCCTTGGCAGCCTTTTTGCTTCCTCTCTTTATCGCTACACTGAATTCTCTTTCCCCACTCGCCGCCACCTCCAGCTCTCTAGTTCCTTTCAATCTCAATACCTACACAAAAACTCAAAAACTCGGTTGCCTGTTAGGGTAATTATGATTGATTCTACTGCTGAACTGTTTGGGTATGAGTTTGAGAATCCAACGAGTGATCTTATTCACCATTGTCTTTTAAGATATCCGGGAAGTTAATGGAGTTAGCGAACAGGTTTAATTTAGTAGTGTTGGTGATTAATCAAGTGATGGATTTTGTGGAGTCTGCAGATGGAGTAAATGAGGTGAGGATTGAAAATTTGGATAGTTTTTGTTCGTCTGGACAGAGGGTTTGTATAGCGTTAGGATTGTCATGGGCTAGTTGTGTTAATTCGAGGTTGTTCTTGTCCAAATATGAATATGAGAGTGGATTGGTGTGTGGTGGTGAGAATGGTTCTGTGTCTAGGGAAAAGAGGAGACGACTTCATGTTGTTTTTGCGCCACATTTGCCTAGTTTGTCTTGGGAGTTTGTGATTAGGAGATAAGTTGTTGTTCTTCTTTTTTTCTTGGGTTTGTGTTTTCAATTTTTTTTTTCAAATAGTTAATTAAAATTAATTCAAATTACATCATGTTATTTTTTTAATTTTTTTTCTGTGTTAGCTAAAATTGTCATGTGATAATTAAAAATGTCACGTGATAATTGATTTAAGATAAATTAGCATTATTTATTTTCAAGTGATTGTAAACATTAAAAAAATTAATAATAATTCAAAACTAGGTCATTGAAATCGAAAAAAATTATTGGTTGGACACTAAAAAATGATGATGGAGTGTAAAGTATAATATTTTTAAAAAAAGTTGAGATACTCAAGTGTTATAAATACTATAATATAGGGTGTCCATGGTAATTCGTTAATTTATTATTATTTATCATGTCAATATCTTGATCTTACTCCTTTGCAAAAAAACACACAACACATATTAATATCTTAAAAATTTGCAACTCATTATTATATATTCACTATTTATAAATAGTGTAATCCCAAAGAACCTAAAACGAGGGTGGATTAGGTCTTTAGGTATAAACAATTTCTTTCATTTAATATTGAAATCCCAAACTACTTTAACCAATCAATAAAATCATATAAATCACAAACATAAATAAATAAGATAAAGAGAAAAATAATAAAGAGATTGACGCTGTGATTTATAGTGGTTTAATTCTACTAACCGTTTGCTCTACTTTCAAAATTATAAATTAAGTGTACCTATCTTCTTAAAAAATAAATTCTCTCTTTCTTTACAATAATAATCCTTTTTTTTTTCCCACATACTTAAGCTCACAATACTTCTACAAGCATTTTCACATGCTCCATATGATAATTATTAATTTCACAATAAAAAATTCTAAGCGACCGAAATGTGACTTGCACTTAAATTCACATTCTTGCACGACCCTTTTGACAAGCTCAAGATCATAATAATTAATCTCAGAAGCTCTCAAAAACTCACTATTAGTAATTAAATTGTGACTTGCACTTTCACAATTTTCTCAATCAAAGTTAAACTCACTCGATGAATACATTTACAAATGAAAGGCATCAACTTTCTGTGATGTATTTATTTGTTTTAAAGTAATCATCAGAGAGTCAGCAGCTACGTGTAAGAGAGAAATAGACTGTGTGGAAGAAATGCTTGCCCATGTGCTCGCTGAAGACACTTGTCATTCTCACACAATTTAATGGGTTTCGTATAAAGGACAAGTAGGACACTATTTCACTCATCAATAGGACAAGATGCGATGACTTTGTTTAAAATAGGTACTAACAACCATCAAAATATTCAGCTACAAATTTTTAGTGTTTGACACGTGTTCTTAGGAATCAGAAAAAAACTGGACGAAATAATTCATGCGTTTGCGCATGAAAAGATGTTTACTAGACTAGTTTTACAAATTAAAACGTCTGGTAAATCAGATGACCAGACAGCTCTTCAACAAAACTTAAGTTTAAGTTCAATCTTTGTACTTGATTAATACATCTATAAAACACCAACACCAACACCTGCATGCTATTAATATTAATAATTTGTTATCATCAAAATCACAACCCTAATTGTTATTGATATTTGGAGCTAACAAATCGTGCAGAGCTCATTCACGTTCATATAAGTGTTCTCACATTGTTTGGTAATGAAAGAGACTCGTTTCTTAATCAACTATGAAAATGAAAACGAGTATAGAAACTGAAATCAACACTGATGTCAAATCAAATGGAAGACAAACTGTCCTCCTCTCCTTTGATGTATCGTGGACTAATGCTCTTTTTATCTAAACTTCTCAAAGAAGTTGCTTAAATAAATCATATACTACTACTAAATTGTTAATTAATTATCATTGTTTTGTACCTAATTTTAGAATTTGTTCTAGAATGGGTGGTTGAACAAGCGCACTAGAAGTGTTGGTTGTCTTGCTGACATGGAAATGCATAATATGTCTCTCTTTCTGATTTGCATAACCATGTTTCTGATGTCAGTGCAATGGATCAAATATTATTAAAACAAGATTGTAAGATTGCAAGTTTCTAGTATCTTAATTTCTACAATTTCCTTTAACGGCGAGCAAAACAGTTAAATAGTTTTGTTTTATATAAATTCGATTTGGTTTTTAATTAATTGAATTAAAAAAATTAAAATCGAACCAAAATAAGTTTAATTTGAAATTGAATTATTTTAATTTGATTTCATAAAAATTCAATTTTAACCGAAATAATTTTTTTTAATTGTTAAATTCTAAATAAATATTTAGAGGTTTTTCATTTTTTAGTATATAGACCAAACTAATAAAGAAGAAAAAAGAATAAAGCATGTTTTGTAGATTTTGTTTTCATTGATTCTCTCTGCCGCTGCTCACTTTCTTATACAAAAACTATGACCAAAATTTAGAATGCCAAATTAAGGTAAATAGCAACATTTATAATGTGAAAAAAAATATAATGTTATTTGTCATCTTCAATAATAAAATTTTCTTATCATCAATTTTTATTTTCAAATTACAAAAAGGGCACATTTTCTTTTTGGTCAGAATGATAAGGGTCATTGTCCTATTTTGCTAGTTGGAGTCCCTGTTATTTTACCGTTAAAACGGCCCTTCCATCTTCTCCTATTCTAGCTGAGCTAAGTAATAATACGGTGGGGTCCAGCTAGCCAAAATGGATTGCTTCAACAATAATCATCTTCGACCGTCCAATACCAGACCGGGCCCAAGAAACATCTTCCCATCCGACGGTTGGAGAAACCCAATTGCCATATAATCACGCCGCCAATTCTACGCAGGATCTTAAATTCCTTAATTACCCTTCCTAACGTTCGAATAATCGGCTCCATTAGAAAATCATAAATGAGAAGGAAAAGGTCATGATTGTAATTAAAATAATCGCCAGAAACAGCTGAGTGACGAATGAGTCATTAGCAAAATGAATCCGAGCTCGAGTATATGAAAAAGTGTGTCCAAAAACGATTATTTATTTATTTTTTAATTTTTTGAACTTTACTGTTTTCTTTCCATAAAGCACTCCCTTCTCTCCCTCTCTTTAGTGTTGGTTGACGAGAGCTTCTTCATTAATGCCTAATTTTTAGCTTTTTCTTTTTTGTTTCGGCTGCAATCAAATCTACATTTTGAGCTCTTTTGGTTGAAGAAAGAAAGTAAGGAGAGAGAAGAAGAGAAGATGCTGGACGGGATTCTAGGTCGGGGATTTGGTGCAAAATGGTAAGTATATTATTTAAACAGTTATTTGAAGGAGAGAAAAAGAGAGAGATTAATGGTTTGTTTGTTTGGCAGTAAAGCGTTGATAAAATCGACTAAGAATCAGATCGAAGTGATAAGAAGAAAGAGGAATGCGACTTTGAAGTTTTTGAAGAAAGATATGGCTGATCTCCTTGCTAATGGACTCGACATCAATGCTTATGGCAGAGTACTATTGATCTTTTTCTTTCTTTCTATTTTTCTTTTTAATCAAGTTGATATTGTTTTTCGCTGTTCGATCTGATTTTTTTTTAATCTGTTTTTTACATGAAAGAAAGTGTGTGAAAATAAATGCAAACAGAATTTTGAATTTTTGGTTTAGTTACAGAAAAAGAAGAAAAAACCAAAAGAATTTGGAAGAAAATAAAAGGAATAGAGTTTTATAATAAATTCCGTATAGAAGAGAAGAAAAGAGAAAGGCAAGATTTGAAAAATTATTCAATTTTTCTTCATTTAACTAGCAAGAAAATAAGGACTAATAAATTTGAAATTTCGAACTGTTTGCGGTTTTTGTGATTCTTTTTTGAATTGCTGTTAATTTTCTTTAATGCGGTCGAGTATTGGGCCGAGGTGGTGTTTTAACACACACACACACACACACACACACACACACGATTCCAATCTAAGCTCTTAAGCAAGTTTCTGATGTTTTAAAGTCTTCATTCAGGCTGAGGGACTTCTAGCTGAATTGAACCAATTGTCTTGCTATGATTTTGTCGAGCAATTTTGTGATTTCGTGTTAAAGCATCTTTCAGTCCTGCAAAAGTTGAGGTATGAGAGGTTATTTTCTCGTCGAACCAGTTTAGTTTTGTGCTACTATCTCTTTGTTCATATTGTTTGCAAGCAACATGATATGATCTATTGGCTAACATCAAGGACTTCCAGTACATGGGCTTGGTACCTTCACATTGTTTGTCATTGGAAATAGATGAAAGAAATACATAAGTTCTCTTGGGCTTAGCTTTTACGATGATAAGATTGCCTATTTTGACATAATCTTTCTGGGAGATTTGGTTCTTGTCATTTTTACGAACAGGCTATTTGATTGAAAAGTGATATAAATATATGCAGTTGATCGTCAAAGAAATGAAGTGCTGTGGAAATGTGAGTCAAATAGTTGAGCAAATTAGCAATGTTTATGATTAGCATGCCCATTGATGTGCTGTATGTTTGGCTTGAAAGGACCGGTAATGATAGATTTTTAAGTGGTCTGTGTAGAAAATGAAAAATAAAGTTGTATGACTTCCAAGTCATTCAACCTTGTTATGCGAGAATCACTAAAAGGTATCCATGTAAAAAAAAAAAAAAAAAAACACCAACAATGGTAATATGGTCTTTAAGTCACTCAACTTTGTTCTGTGGCAATTGCTAAAACTATCCCATGAAAGGACCACTAACACTAGATTTTTAAGCCATCCATGTACAAAATGGAAAATAAAGTTGTATGACTTCCAAGGTATTCAACTTTGTTATTCATACAACTTTGTTATGCAAGAATCACTGAAAGGCATCCTGAATATATTTGAAAGTATCCATATAAAAAACCAGAGATGGTAATATGATATTTAAGTCACTCAACTTTGTTCAGCGAGAATTGCTAAAACTATCCCTTGTAGAATAACTACAAAATGTCATTGAATAGAAAAGTTTTAGATATTATATGGGCAATAACAACTCATTCATATGTCCTTGTGGCATGTCCTCTTCCATAAGAGATGATTTCTATGTTGAATAGAAGTGATTGACAACCACCTTTATTTTGGCAAGAGGCTCACGTGCAAGTCTTCTGACTACACTATTACCAGGGGAAATAATGATGATAGATGTTTATATTATTCCTTAGACTAGGTTTTGGGGCTGTCAAGAGTCAGGAGTACTGTACTCTTATCTACATGTAAGTATTATTGGGCTAAAATCATGATTGTGGAAAAATATAAAGTAGAAATGTCAAACAAATTATGGGATTTCATAACTATCATTTTCCATTTTCACACGCACACTCAGAGTTATATAGGATAGAACTACAGCTTCTTCTGACTGACAGATTTTAAAATGAATTCTTTTATAAGTTAGATCAACTTACTGCTTCCAAGATTTTATGGATATTTCTCTTGATTCATTGTCATCTTTACAGGCACTGTCCTGAGGACTGTAGGGAGGCTGTTTCATCCTTGATGTTTGCCGCTGCAGGATTGAACAATTTGCCAGAGCTACGTGACCTTAGAGATGTGTTTTACGAGAGATATGGGAATTCCCTGGATTTTTTTGTGAATCAAGAGGTAATTCTTCATGGATCCTTACCTTGTACAAAAATTTATGCATCCATTGTGCTCTCAATAACTGATCGTTTAAATTTACTCATTAATAGTTTGTTGAAAAGCTATCGTCAAAGTTAGTGACGACAGAGAAGAAAATTCATTTAATGCAAAATATAGCAACAGAGTTCTCGATAACATGGGACTCCAATGCATTTGAACAGAGGATGTCCAAAACCCCGAAATCTAAACAGGTTTGCCCATTCATTTCCTTTTTATTGTCTTTTATGTGTTTATTTCTGTTGGGGGTGGGGTTGAATTATTGCAAACAGACTGGAGAAATGGTTAAGATCTGTGATCTGAGTTCAAATGTCACTTCATCCAAGACGTAACTGCCTTTATTTCTCCTACTATTCACCCCCTCCCCTGCTTTTTCTTTGTTTTTGGGGGGCAGTATGTGTATCTTCCTTCCTTATAGCTGATTCTTTTGCAGGACCAAACTAAAATTCATGGGTCTTTACACAGCAATGATGACAGATATATGCTTATTAATGACAAGGATACTGTCTCAAAAGAAGATAAACAGGATTTTCCATCAAAAGAAAGGCTTGAGGATAACCACGATAGATACAAATTCGTCACCGACAAGGAGAGCACTGTCTCAAAAAGAAATGAGATCAATTCTCGATCCAGACTTGATGCCCCCAGCACTGAACATGAGCCAATCAGGGTCAGGGGAGAAACTATCCTTAAAAGGGACAACCGGGACATTCTATTCCAGGGAAGGCAAGAAGCCGCCACAGTGGAGAAGGATCAACCTTGGAAGGAGGATACTCCCCTGAAGACAGTTAGATTAGGTGGTTCATCTCAATGGAAAAGAATGGAAAGTGTGGATGGTGGATTGAAGCGGCGAGATGGCAGGGAGAATACTGTGCCCAGAAGAGATGGCACGGACACAACAATTCCTGGAAAACCAGATATTGCTCCCAGTTATGCAGGATTATGGTCTAAGAACGATGGTAAAGATTTTTTGGCAGCGCACAACAATTATGGTGGCCAACACAAAACAGAATATTCAAAAAGAGGTGTTCTGGAGGAAGAAGTACATAAGCTGAAACCCTACTATAACAATGCTATCCCTCCTCCCTACACAAAAACTAATGCTAAACTGACTGATGCCAGACATGGAGCTACTAGTGTAGGAACTTCTCAGATTGGTTCTGACTTTAATGCAGCTACAAAAGATCCTTCAAGGGATAACATAGCCAATTCTTGGAACAGCTCAGAGAAATTCCTACAAGGATTTAATCATCCTGACCATGAGAGGCAGAATGTTGGACTTACAAGAGAAAATGGTCATGGAATTGAGAAACGTAATTATTATCAGGATGACGGTATCAGTAACCCCATTCCAAAACCAAGATCCATGAGGAGGAGACACTCAAAGTCACACTCCAGTCATGATGATGCTGGCAATTCAGAAGATACAGGTGGTGTGAAGAGAAGGTCAAGAAGCAGGAGAAAGGATGACTCAAGAAAAGGCCTGCAAATCTTGTTTGATGATGATCGCTGTCAGAATGATGAAGAGGAAAGGGTGATAGATAAACTTTTGATACATTACAGCAAGAAACCTTCTGCACATGAACCTGGAAAGGTGAGAAGAAAGTCAAAAAGCCGTCATGCGCATCAGCAAGGCACTGAGGCAGATAGATCTCCACAGCATATCAGCAGGGACAGGCCTGATGAAATCTCAGAGATGGTTCCTGCACCTCCCCGATCCATTTCACTTCCTCGTGAACAAACAAATTCAGCAGAGGCAAGGAAAGTGTTTACTCGGGCTGCTTCCTTTCAGCCAGATAGGTCAAGCCCAGCTCGGCATGTGCATCCTAAGTTACCAGATTACGATGACTTGGCAGCGCGTTTTGCAGCCTTGAAGGGTAGGTAAATCACTGAGCAATCGGATTCAAAATCTTTTAACATTGCCATGAGTAGTGTATCCTGTAGCTGGATTCTTACATGTGTTCCTTGGAGAGTTTCTTTTGCTGTCTTTAAGGGAAAAAAAGGGGCTATGCTCCAATTGTATTGGCTGAAGCAGGTTTGGCCTTTTACTTGTATTTCTGATACATGTTTCTTGGAGTGGTTCTTTTGTATTCTGATACAATTGGGCTATGCTCCAACTGTATTGGCTGAAGTGAGTACCCCTAGCAGGTTGGCTTTTTACTTTGTGATTTCTGATCCTCCGCAGTTGGAGTATAGCCCCCATAGGTGATGTGGTTCGCAGTGGCATTCTATATTTCTGCAATCTATTGACCATGGCATTTATACTTGCTCATTCTGTAATACTTTTCCACTTGATAATAGCAATTGCCTGAAAGGGCATTGTACTTTCGTTTATGGATGTTCTGTCTTTACACACCCTCTTTCATTGAATGGTTACATCATTAACTAGAAGACTAGTTTAGTTGGCTTACCCTGACCACCCAAGTCATCGAGGTTCCTCTCAACATTTGGCAATATTTCTTTTGGGGGGGGGGGGTTGGGGGTTGGTGGTGGTGGTGTCCGATAGAATCATGATATAATGTGTTCAATGACTATTATGGCCTTGAATGTCACAGAAACCCTACTAGCACGGAACAAAAATGCCTTTATATTTCCCATTCCCAATACCCTCTTAAAGATTCGGTTCCTATCTGCTATCCTTGTCTAAGGAAAAGGACTGTTTCCCGCCAAAAATAGAAAGCTTCTCACCCTGCCTTTCATTACAGTCCCTCCTTTGCCTTTTATTCCACACTTCAGAGAGAGAGAGAGAGAGAGATGAAGGGCACATCCAAGGTGATAATGGGAGCAACACTGGCAATGGTGGCGAGCCTTGCCATAGTGTTGGCCCTAGTTCTGGTGCTGCTAGCTGAGCTTTACTGCAGTCTCTTGCTTCGCCGACGTCAACTAAGAATCACCTCCAACACCAGCACCACTTCTGCCACCATAACCACCACATCGACCACCAATAATTCCTTCTCAGAGTCTCCACAACCCCAAAACCAATCACCTTCTCTCCCTCTCTCCAGCTACTATGCTCAAGGGGTTCTGCAGGCTCCCAGAAGTTTATTATTTCCTGCAGTTCCGTCCAATAAAGAAAGCAAGGTGGTGGAAACAAGAAACGAACACTCCCAACTTCATCATGTTCTTGAAGTCCATACCGAAGAATCAAACGCAAGCCTCAGCCCCCAACAAATTGGTCTCATAAACACTTCACCTCCATCAACTGCCTTTGTATCTTCAACCCATCAAATCCAAGAAATCCCAAATCAAATTAGAAGTAGCAATGCTTGTAACGACAAGGAATGGGCTGGTTGTGGAGAACATTTTGTTTACATATCCAATCCCATTTACGATAATGATGCAAGCAGAGCGAGCAGGGTGGATACTCCATATGAAACTCCCGATTCATCGCCATCACGTTTGGAAATAGTAGGTTCTAGTTCAGGTGAAGAAGAAATAGCCCTACCATCCCCATCTACACCTCCATTGACTCCAATGAAGAAGCTCCCAGCTGAGGCTTGTTCAGTTTCATTGAGAGATACAAGGTCTTTGGGTACTTCAGGAAGTGATTCTGTTAGTAACAATGTCCTCTCATCATCATCATCCTCAGGGTCTCCATGCACATCTCCTTCGTGGTGATTTGCGTTTAATTTTATGTTAATTATTAACCTTTGTGAGGTGCATGTGTTGTGAATACAGTGAAAGATAAAGAGTGAACAAGTCCCTACGACCTTTGTTTTCTTTCTTTTTTTTTTTTTTGCAGGCATGGCCAAGGCTCGGTCACCAAAGCCCACGCTCATGCTAAATAATTTTTTTGTCTCTTAGGGCTAGTAGTAGTACCCCCATCCCTCTCTCTTTTTCTCTCTCTTTATTCACTTTGCAGAATTGCCCTTTTGGTTTCATCCCCTTGTAATTTATGGGTGTTTTTGGACTTACCATGTGGTTCTCGTAAAAGACTTAACAAATCAATTGAGCATTAGTTTTGATTTTGTTTGTTTTTATTGAAGATGCATGTGAATTGCTGAGACTTGAGAAGTCAGAGATGGACTAAAAAAGAAAAGAAAAGGAAAATCTCTCTGTTTTTTACGGACCTCGGGTTCTTATTTCAATGCATTAAAAACAAAAAACAAACTGTCACCCGCGAGGTATTTGTCCACTTCAGAATATGACCAGATCAGACCAGTCTTGCTGTGTTGGTTTCCATATAAACCCAATGGGGAAGAAGCTTCACTGTCTGTACTGCACTGCACTGCCTTGCCTTGCCTTAATTTTGCAGTAGTTTTCGGTTGAGAGATTTGGGCACCCATCGTTTGGAAATGACGTGCCCACAAAGTTAAAATACAGCAATCTTGTCCAGTCTGTGGTCTGACCCCCATAAAAATGCTTGGAAACGTGCCTGGCATTGGCAGTTTTAACTTTTCTATTTGTTAAACTTGACAGTTCAACTTTGGGGGGCCAGGGACCGTACGTATTCGTTGATGAATGGGTTGCCGCCTGATTTAATTTTATCGTTTGTACTTGTGTCAAATGTGTGGTCTCTCTCTGCTGAAGCTTGCCTGGCATCTTTAAATCTTGTGTCCATGAGGGGACAAATACCAATGTGCATTTATCGTAACTCTTTGTTTTTTATTTTATTCATTATTATTATTTCTGTTTTTAATGCTGTGAAACATAATCGATCCTACTGTGATTTGCATCTCAAAGCATGATCCTTTTTTTTTAAAACCAATGAGCATAGAATAAGGTATATATATGTATATATATATATATATATATATAGACTGGGATACAGCTTCCTAGAGATACAATTCGATCTATACAGATAATTTACTTACCTCAAACCAGAGTTGACTGAAGGAAAGGCAGTTCTCAGATTTTTCAAACACAGCCAATCGTCAAATATTAGAATCAACACAGTACATTTAGATGAACAAGGGCAGGTTTCACTTCGGCTTTGGTTGTTTTGCTTAAGTTCATTTGTTAGTATTATTCCCTTGTCAAGATTCACATCGTGCTGGCGTTTGCTTGTGAATTCTCTGATATTAAAAAATTGACAGACTCTAATCATTAAGAGTACCTATTAGAGGACCAAGTAAACAATCAACATTCTGCGACCAACTTCTTCATTCATCGGCAAGTCCCTAGTCTTTTATAGCACAAAGTAATTAATTTCCAAGTGTCAAAGAGCTTCTGTGACAAGTAAAAACATACATACAACAGATATTCACGTGAGCTATTTTTCATTGAGAGCAGCTTTAATCTTCAAATCTGATGGCCCACAATGCAGTTCAATCTGATAGACCAACATCCGCACAAATAATTGAGGGAATCCTGTTTAAAGATATCAGGCCAAAAGGCAAAATTTGCATTTACGGAAACTTGTATTGAAAAACTAGTAAAATTTTGTAGTAGTGATCAAATCACCCACGGGGAAGCTGCCTAGCATACCCAAGTAAATGTCAAGAATAGATATCTTCATTCATCAGGAGCAGCAAAACCTTCTTCTTCCAGTTTCTTGAGGTCTCCTATGCAATTTCATTCCGGTTGGACGGGAAGGGACCTTTTTTGTCAATCTCTTAGCTGCAAGAAGGGAAGTTCCCATGAGCAACAAGAACAGCTTTGGGTGCAGATTAGAAATACATCTTAACAGCTAGCAAATATCACTACATTTGGAACCCATCATGTTTACAGCACCAACAACTCTGCTGTCCAGAAAAACCGCGACCAGCTTAAGTTAATCATGTAATTTTAGACTTATCATGGTTCAATTATTTAACATGTAATTCCCTTATTTGTTTTCTAGCAAGCATGCATTCTCCCTTTTCCTAATCGTTTCTCCTATAATTTGGTCAAAATAAGCATGCCAAATCTAAACGCTATAATCAACATTGGATCCTACATGGGGAAGTAAAGCTGAAATTGCAATCATTGATCCATGAGAAAAGTAAGAATAGCCATTCATTCAACCCAATAAATATGTAAGCAATGTGTACAATACCTATTTCATAAAAAAGCTCGTTCACATTCTGTGCAGTTTTTGCAGATGTTTCAAGGAACACCAATCCATTTTCTTTAGCATATTGCTCAGCTTCCTGCAACATTAAATGGTTTAATAATTTACATGTTTCCCTTGTCTCAAGTGTACGTTCTCAATAAACTATATATGATGATAATATTAATTTGGCTGTCTTCTTCAACCAGAGAAAAACAAAAAAACAAAAATAAATAAATAAATAATGAAAATAAAGTTTGTAGAATATGAGATCAATCGTGGAAGTACCTCATTTCCAACTTTTCTCTTCTCTTCCAAGTCAACCTTGTTGCCCACTAAGAACATTATCAAATTTGGATTTCCTGATAAGGCACAGCACAACACAAAATTGTATAACAAGTTTGTAAATAACAAATCTCAATGCAATTATTAGTTCTATATATTCCCAATGATTAATATTTAAATAACATTAAAGCAGTCTCATTTGAACAGTTGAAGAGTAAAATTTCTGGTTCATGCAAACTCTAGTCCTCGTCAAAATCCAAGCATTTAAAATTTGAAGCCATGTAGGTCAAAACCAAATATGATTTTTAAAAACCGTGTAGAGCTTTGGGGGGTGGGGAGGGCGCGCACGGCAGCAGGGGTGCGATAGAGTAAAATTGAAATGCTGAAAAGCATAATTGATGATAAAGCATCACTAAGCACAAGTAATTTTCTTGCATCCTGGGAACATAAACATAGCATATTAGGCTAAGGAAACTCAATTGCAGGAATGATGGATCGATGCTGGGGTCCACTACAGAAGTATAAAGGTACAAGGGTTCTACAGCATTTAACTTATGGTAAGCAGCTTCAAATCTTGTTCTCAGAAGAATTAGAAAAACAAAACAAAACAGATAATAGAAGGCAAATGTTCGTGTCTCAGCCTACATATTTATCATTTCAGTCAGTTATTACTCTTTTCAAGGTAAAAGAATGAAAAGAAATGGCTAGTTACCTTGTCTCTGCAATTCTATAACCCACTTTTTAGCTCGTTCAAATGAATCCTGAAGATAAAACATGTTTCAATTTAGATGGGATCTATACCACTAATAAAAGAAACTACAGCAAAAATGATTGTTTAAGAAATCCAAGAATTTTATTTAACATACATCAATTTCTCTCTGTTTGATCATCATATTAAAGGCAGCAAAGCCCAAGTACAAAAATCCACAGAAAATTTTGAGAATACTAATGTTTCTGACATGGCATGTAACATAAGTATGTCTAGTAAGATGGATTACATGTTTTTTGCACAAATATGCCAATTTATCAATGTCCAACCAAAAGACAACCCTTCATTTATATTTCATAATTTATTGAACCTGAGAAAAATGCTTTTTTGCTTCTGTTTCTAGATACCATGCATGAATATGTAAAAGTGAAAACCTTCGTCACAGGTTATATACAACTAATTCAAAAACATGGATATGAGGGCTTAGCTAAATCAAGAATTAACTTCATAATTACATTAATGATGAACCCACAAATTAATCAAGAGAAGCATTGTATATAAACACTTAAAAAGCTAAAGAATTAACATTCAAGAATTGTACTAGTTAAGGGGTTGATCAAAATATACCATGCTTGTGATATCATATACCACAACGGCCGCAGCTGCACCACGGTAGTACATTGGAGCCAAGCTATGGTATCGTTCCTGCCCTGCTGTGTCCCATATATCGAACTTAATAGTTGCCTCATTTAATGACAAAACTTGGGTGAAAAAGGCCGCTCCAATTGTTGATTCCTAAATATTAGTTCAATCATGTTAGCCATAAGGGAAGTATACAAGGGAAGTACAGAATATCAGTATCGGATTTTATGCCGATACCTATATGCTAAATCATTGAATTTGAAAGAAATAATAAGCAATCCAGCATGCAAAATATTATAGAGCACTAATTCCAATAGCAAGATATACCTCTTCCTCTTAAACACATTGTATATATATATATGTACCTGGAAATCAAAAAATTGCCCCTTGGTAAACCTCAGTACCATACTTGTCTTCCCTGTCCCCATGTCCCCAAGTAGTACCTGTAAAAGAACTTAGTGATCAAGTCAACCCTTCTGTATTTTGCAGTAAAGAGTTGTTAATTAATAAAAAAAAAAGTTGTAACCGTGCTTCTTCTACTTTGATCAGTCTCTACCCTTGATTTACAATATTTATCTGTCTTGATTAATGATTAATTGATTCATCTAAAAAAACATGTCATTCAAAGCTTTTTTCTTCTTGTGCAAAGATGGGCTCGACGATGCCCTCATCGTCGAGACGAAAAATAAAAAATAGAAACTAGATCAGTTATGAACGTACTAATCACAAAAGTTTCTATACATAACCACAAAAATCCTACCAAAAAAGTACAGAGTAATATATTTATCAAACAAATAAGCATTCTCATTAATCCATTGTATATGTGGTCATCTTATATGTTAATTAATCAAAGCAAAGGATCGATGATATTTTCTATTTGTTAATGAAAGTAAATAGAAAAGGGCAAGACATACCCACCAGCTTGGCCTGTATGTTCTTGTTTCCAGTCCTTGCCATTGCCGATCGATGACGAAATTATTAAGTTCAGAGAGAAGAGATCGACTTTTGAGTTTGAAAGCGAAATTCCAACTATGGGAATATCGGTTGAGTGTTTGTATATAAGGATGACTAGAAAACGTGCAAAAAAAGCTAAAGACAGGGCCATAATTGTTGTTTCCACGGATGCGAAGGTGGGCAATAGCCAATGGATTCACTGGGGCGCTAGGGGGTGGATAAATAGGAAGCAGGAGAAAACTTGACTGGTGATAGCGTTTTGAATGGATAGAAGAAGAATGGTAGCTTGTCTGTGTTTGACTGGTGGGTTTTTGGGTCTTAGACGTTCGATTTTTGCATGTTACTTTTTGCCCGTTTTGCCTCTTAAGTTCCCAAAATAAAGTATTGGCACCTTTTTGTTCTACCGTCAGTTGTCGCAGGTCAAGGGTTCGACTCAATTTCAACCTCACTCTCTTCTCCCATAATGCATTAGAGGATCTATCTGTCGATGTTTTATATAGTAAAATTATAGCATTTCTTTTGAATATAACAAAACACATCTCATCCCTTTTTCTGACTTCTATATGAAAAGCCATTTTCCCTGGTTTAACATAAGTGCTATTGTGTTTGCTTGGCTAAGTAGTTTCTATGAGTAGGGATTTTTTATTTTTTAAGAATGAATGCATTGAAATATGAAGCACGGAATTTGTTTTTTCGAACTAATAAAATTATAAATCGCAAATTTAATCTGGAGTGATATGTAAATTCATTTAAAAATATTCCTTCCATAATAATAATAATAATAATAATAATAATAATTTTTTTTTTTTTTTAAAGTTAGGATTATGACTGATGAAAATTTGATGCTCGCAATGTCTTGAGTTTGGGATCTTATCTCAGTAAACTCTTCTATTGATCTTTAATCAAGGTTTCGTTCAAATATACGTATGAAAAAAAAAAAAAAAACCAAGACTGTAGCCTCCATTTTTTTTTTTTTCAATTTTAAAACTATTAGTTTGGGGGAAAAAAGATTGAAGAGGTCATTTTGAATCCAATTTAAATCTTATGGTATCACTTAAGACGTTACCGAATAATATTTCAAGCTCCGATCATTGAATGACCTAGAATCATGATGTAATAACCGATACTCGCTAAAACTAAAATTAAATATTTAAAAACATATGAGATATATTTTGAAAATATAAAGTAGTTCACAAAGATTAGAGAAGATATTCAAAGTAGATAAAATAGTCATTTTATGCCCAATTAATATTTTATTGATTTTACGATGCATGAATAGTAGTTTTTGCATGAAATAACTAATTAAAGCATGAAAAATAGTTTGTGTGCTTAGAATAATTGTTAGAGGGGTGTTGAATTATTTTATGTACTTGGGTGAATTTTATTATGTGCTATGAATATTTTATTTGAATTTTGATGTGTTGGAATAGTATTTTTAGAGGAAAAGAATTTAATTTGGCACCTTAAGAGTATGAGGAATTTTTTTAAGAGCATAGAATAATCATATGGGAGGTGTGAGAGTTCCTAGAAAATTTAAATTAATTTTATTAAGTATAGGGAATGTTTTAAATAAAAAACGAGTGTGATTTTCACACTAAATAATTAATTTAGAGGCTCAAATGAGGTCAAAAAATTATGAAAATTTAAAATAAAATCGCTTAACAAATATTTGAATTGATTATGAAAATAAATTGGATTTTTGAAGAGTATAGTACGGAATTTTAAAAGTAGGGACTAAATTGCATAAAGTTAGGGACTCAATTGCATAAAATTAAAAGTTTAATAATCCAAATTAAATTATTTAAGAATGTTAAGGGTAAAAAATTAGTCATAGAAATGGAAAGGAGAGGATTAGAAGGGGGTTTTGCATAAAAGAGGGATTTAGGAAAGAATAGGCTATGGAAAAGTCTAGAAACTTGGAGGACCAAAATTTATCATTTTCCTTCCAAATTTGGCCAACATAGAGCATTAATTAATTCTGACTTCCAGTAAAAATTATGGAAAAAAATAAGCAAGGTGGAAGGGTTAAATAAAAAGATGAATAAATGGCCAAAAAAAATGGGACAAATGCAAATGAATGATTGGAAATTGAATTAAGGGCTGAGATTTTTTCACATTAAAGATGGCGATGAGGTCAATAATTCCACAAAAGTTCATATAAATAGGAGTGCTGGAAAAATAAAAAGGAAAGGAGAAGTGAAAAACACAAAGGAAACTTTTACAAAATTTCCACTCAAAAATTACCCAAAATAATCCTAACCAATTTTAGACCCTCTAAATCGAGTGGATTAAGCTTCAATTTTGAGTTGGGAGCTGAATATCTTCAAGAAGAAAAATAAAAGAGCTAATTCAAGTTTAGGGGGAAAAATGGAAGGAAGAGGATTTTCAAGCAACCTACCTTTTTAAGGTTAATTTGGAGCTCAATCATGTAAGTTAACCTCACCTACACCACAAGCATGCTTAATTTCAAATCAAAGAGCTAATTCAAGTTTAGGGGGAAAAAGGGAAGGAAGAGGATTTTCAAGCAACCTACCATTTTAAGGTTAATTTGGAGCTCAATCATGTAAGTTAACCTCACCTACACCACAAGCATGCTTAATTTCAAATCAATTTCATGTTTAATTGCTTGATTTGATTTAATTGCTCAATTGATAAAAATTAGGGTTAGGGTTCTTAATGAACCAAATTTGGGAGTTTTGAATTCTTTTATTTAATTGGTGTTTTGACACTTGATTCTGACTTATTTAAGTATGAATTATGTTTAGGAATGAAAATTTTCACTTTAATTGAAGAAAAATCCACTAATTGTTAGAAATTATATTTGGCCTAAACTAAGCAAATTAGGGGTTGAGTTCAAAGCAAATTGATTCTGGTTTGATGGGTTATTCACACTTGAATAAGCATGTTTTGATGAGTAGAAATGGAAAATTTACTAAAAATTGAAGAAAATATGTAATGAAGAAATGTATTTTTCTTGAAGGCAGAGAGTTACACGGCTTCCCACACGAGTGTGTCCTTGCCCGTGTAATAAAGAAATATGTTTTTCTTGAAGGAAAAGAGTTACACGGCCTCACACACGGGTGTGTCTTTACCCCTGTAATGAAGAAATGTGTTTTTCTTGAAGGCAGAGAGTTACACGGCCTTTCACACGAGTGTGTCTATGCCCGTGTAATTCATTGATCACTTAAAAGTCACTCTTTAAGTTCCATACCCTAAATTAGTTCATTCATACTCAAGATAATATAAAAGGATGGTTTAGAATAAAAGTGTTCATGAAAATCTAAAGAAAAATTGATTTAGGAAAAATTAGACCTTAGGCCCATTAAGGCCCAAATCGAAATTGGACTATGTAATCAATGGAATAATACTTAATTAAGTTAGAACATGGATTAGTACCTAGTTTGGTAAATGTTAGATGTGAAAGGGTAGTTAGGAGCATAAGGAAAATAACTTAGAGATGTTAAAATGTAAAGTAAATCAATGAAACTAAAATGAAATATAATTGTTTACTTACTCTTGTGTTATGATTTTATTTTCTTTCCAATGAGGTATGTGACACCATGATTAATGAATGATGGTTATGCTTGAGTTGTGATTGGTGATGAGAATTGTGGTTATGCTAATTGATGCGCCAATGATGATTGTACTACTTGATACAAATTGATGTTATTTATGGCGTTATGCTTTTCGATTTTATTTGTGTTTTCATAACATGGTTACACGACCATTTAGGACATGTACTTGAGTATCATTGTTAGCATGTATTATCATTCAAAATGCATATGCATGCCAAAGCTCATGAATAATGTTTTAAGTCATGGAAATGTATTTTATGCTATGAGTTTCGATAGCAATCGAAGTATTTTAAAGAAAAGGATTTTCATGACTTTGAGGATTTTTATGAGGATGGGCTTCATAGGTTTTCCATATGGTAATGGTAATGGTTCAAGGCCAAACAAGTGCGGGCGTGCACTTTTAGAGGCTTAGTAGGGCGTATCCATGGAAGGGTCCGGGTCGCCGGACATATGTTATGGAAACCCCGAAGTACCTAAATGGGACATGTCCAAAGATAGAAAAAGGATTTTCGGATCGTTTATGAAATGGTTTATGACATGAGAAAAAAGGATTTATTATGCATAATCAGTATTTTATACATGCATATACATACACGTACACTATATGCATACGTTAACTTACCGGGTCGTAGCTCATACGGTTTCTTATGGTGTAGATCAATAAGATACTATAGCTTACTTCTCTATGGAGCTGATTTCTAAAGAGTGCACCGGACGGTTATACCTTGGATGGGGCTTCGGAATCTAGGTGGACATACTTAGTTTTGTATGTAAATTAGTAACCTGTATGAACCGTAATACCGATAGTAAAATGATAATATACTCGCTAGTAGTGTAATTACTTTAAATTACCCATTGCATGCTAGCATCCTTGAATATTCGGGAGAATTTCTTAATTAATCGTTAAATAAAAAGAATAGTAAAAATTAAAGAGGATAAGTAATATCATAATAATTGATAATAAGGAACTACATCTCAATAAATTACACTAGTTAGTAAAGAAAGGATTTGAACTAGCAAATAACCTCAAATCCAGTTTCAAGTATCCGAGTAAATCGATCAAACAAGAAAAATTTATAACGTCTTTTAAGTTAAAGTATAGGACCTAGCTGGCTAATATTAGATTCTTAAAATATAGATTTCACTTTAGACATGAAGATTAAGTCACGGTTTCTTGTTAGCTTGCATTCATTGCACTTTAAATGTGGGTTAACGATGATAATATTCTCAACCTTTTAGGTCCTAGGTTAGGGGTGTTACATATGAAGCCCCGAGGGTTTAGAGGTTGTCTTTATATCAATGAGAGTAGGTAGACAATGAGTTTTGAGTTTGGGTTTGTGAATTGAACTCAAAGTATCTTTCTTGTACTCATTTTCTCTCATAGTAAAGAAAGATTTCTCTTGAACTATGGAAGTAAATAAGGTTTTG